CTGCCAAACTTTCACCACGGGCAATCCTTGACATTATTTGGATCAGAGAACCATCTAGCGACTGAATCAGCCAGACGGTGGTGCTTCTAGCATGGCCTATTCTTAGCTGGGTATCCAGGAAGCCAGAAACTCCTTCTCAGCTCGGAAGACCCTGCTGGAGGATAAACCTCCGCTGTATTTCGCAGCTCGACAACCTGAGTCACCCCCGCGCCACGATGAGGTGGTAGACCATCGCGGGGCGTGCCCTTCTTAGGACAGTAAACTAATTTCGTGACACCACAACCTACACACATAGACCATACATATATACATAATTAACAGACAAACTAAGTGTTTTATTACAAGATGTTTGAGTTTGTCGGTCTTTCAGATAGACTTTCAATATCCATGTTTCTTCTATGATTTTTACTCTATACATCAAACTATAACAATAGGTGATTAATTTTACCATATAATATAAATGCTTCATCTGTTTTTTACTTTCCGAAAGTTATTGCCATGTTTTGTAATTAAGACCGAATAATCACATTCGAATAATTATAATACAGCATTAGAAAGCATTCCTATTCAAATATCAATTCGAATAGTTTTGAATGCGTTCAAGTGCTTCTAAATTTTGGATGTTTTATAGGCCTAGTTCTCGTTTCTGAATAAATTATTTGAATAGTTCGCATATGCGATTTTCGGAAGGTAGCACATTCGAAAAAATGCAGTCCGATTAGAGTAGTCAAACATCCGGTCATGCTAAATTTTAAATCATTCGAATATTCAGACATTTCAAACCTTTACCATTTAAATATTTAAATTGAGATATATTCTGAAACAACGAATCAAATTATTCATTTAAATACTTTCGCTACAGACAAATTTATTTCTAGTCGAAGAACTTTTTCGAATGTTCTAACCATATTTTTTCCATAATGCCTATTTCTATATTCACTTCTTACAGAGTTCTGGTAGCTTGATATTTTGTAGGTCTACTGAAAAGTTCCAAATTTCAACAATTTCCGTACCTTAATTCACAGGATCTTGTTAGAGAGAAAGTAGCACCTCATTTTATTGCGTTGTAAATCCTCGCAGACTTTGTTTGTTAGTTCTCTTGAATTCATTTATCATAATGTTTGAAAGAAAATGGACTTGAGATCAATGCGGAGATTAATAGACAGAGAGAGAGCAATCAGTAGCAGCGTTAACTTGGAATAATTTTTAAGCACTAAGATTATCTTTGGCTTAAATGATATAATCGCCTTATCGACTCGACATCCACATGTGGTAGCCGCATCCCTGTCGTGAGAGTCCTAAAATAAAAACTTTTTCTTCGACATGCTCTCTAATTCTGTGAGAGCTCTTACTGGTAATATTTGCTCATAATAGATGATCTTTTGCGAGAATGACGTAATCCAAGTAGGTGACCAATCTCATGAATCATTACCTGAATGTGGATAATAATTTTGATAGGCAAAGACTTTAAGAACAGAAGCAGATTCTGAGACGAAGCACATACTAGCTATGCCATAAGCACTACTCTTCCTACTTTTATCTATACTTCTAATGGCGAACATAGGAAATACTAAAGATCGCAAGCAACAGTCAAGCGCTAAATTTACAAAGTTCTGGAAGTCTGAAAGTTTGGAGGACATTTTGTTTCTTCTTCATCTTTATCTATAAATGATAAGCTGAATCCAAAACATCGACTTGGGCCTACTTCACGACTGGGTCTTTGATTCTTCATCGCAATTTTACTAGCAGAGCGATCATTTGACCTTTTGGAAATGAGTCGGTCAGAGTATAAACTTCTGAGCACGGTTACTTCTAGCATGAAGCTTCAATTTTTTTACAATGATAGTCTTACTCAACCTACAGTAAAATTAAGCTATTAATAATTATCTATGGACACAATATTCCTATTTTCATCGGCGGCTTTTTACAACACAAACGGCTCACGCGCAGGAGAAGGGTCATATACATGGATAGACAACGCGGTTCTTTAGCAATTCTTTTTTAATAACCTTTTCGACATAAATCTTTGAGGAGTTTTTTGCACACATTCAAGGTTCTCATAGCAGGAAATCTTCTACTATTAGCTTTTTTAAAAAAAGTATAGATAACTCCGTTCCCTTAAAATAGCAAAATAACGGTAAGCACTTCAAAGATGTGTTCCTTGCAAACCTTTCTACACCGCCCTATCTGAAACTGGTACTAGATCAAAGAACAGAAAAAACATACATAGCGCAAGTCGACCCCATGTGAGCCATCAAATGACCAGTCTTCATCAGCATCCAAATGTAGAATACCATCTGGGGGATAACTGGAATGTGCCACCATGTTGCCTTTCCCATCAAACGCCTGTTTACAAGAAATTGTCACAGTCATAGAGAATCCTTGACGTAGGGCAACTTGATGATCAAACCTCTTTGTCTCCATGAGATCCGCGAGCAAAGAGGATATCTATATCTACATCAGAAGGTTTTGCTACATTTTCGCTGTTGCTGATAAGGTGTGAGACATCCTGGAAATCCAGATATCCATCTAGCGCATTTCCCCATAAGGCAAAAGCTGTTGATATGAGAGTTCTATAAAGAGTTCTTTTCATATTGATAAAAGCGTAATCGTGGCTTCAAACCTCATTAGTTGCTGGCTCTGCTCATTCATTAAGAGTTTGAAAGGATCTCGGAAAGCCCAGGTAATCACTCGTTGTCGCCAAATTTTACGCTTGGGTGACTTGAAGGCGCTAAATGTGAATATGATGTTCTTGATTTTTGTTACATGGTTAAAGCTGTTCAGTTGACCTCCTATCAAAATCAAAAAATTCGAAATTTTTGAAAGGAAGTCCAATGGGCTACACAAGATTAAATTTTTTGGTACAAGCAGACATGTATGAGAGTTATACCATAGAAAGAAGGAAAATCTTAGTTTTCATACAAGTACAATTTAGTAGTAAAATAGCAATTTTCACTAATTTTTAATGATGAATTTCAGCTGGGGTGGAATCGTATTGATAAGCCATCGTTAGCGTTGCAATTACAGGGCAACCGGTTCTTTGCAAGCCGCGCTAATAGCTAATTCCGCATTGGATGACGAGATCATCAAGGAGATGACAATTATGTGGATTTCTTGCTCAATTAGGGCTATATGAAAGTTTATCAATCACTCTTAAAGGGTTTATACGACTATAGATGGAAGAGCGGAAGCTTTGATTGGTCGTGTTTGGCGCTACGATTTTTACTTCTACCCTCAAATTCTCTTCGTGTATCGGTCTTTTCTAGCCAACATGAGATATCAGTTG